GCACGTTTTTAGCTTCAAAATGAGCCTAAACACGACTAGGCTCCATCCACTTTAATTTTTCAGACGCGTCGCGGCCGTGCGTCGCGTGTCTAGATGAAACTTCAAAATCGTCAGAAATGGGTCGTGTTTGGGCTCATTTTGAAGCTAAGAATGTGACAAAGCTGAAAAATATAGTTTCAAAAGCTCTAAATCAAAAGTTTTGACTAGTTTTTGACGAATTTGAAGTTTTCCAATAACCATGCACCTTTAAACTGAAAATTTCAAATTTTTTAAAAACATGGCGCGACTATACTCGTTTTGATCGGCTCATTTAGCTGAATTCAAAAATCCAGAAATTTCCGATGCCCGGTGAAAATTGAGCTGGTTACGGTAGTTTTTTTTTTGAAATTATGCGTGTCAATGCGCCTTTAAAATCGAAGTTTTAAGCCGAAATAGGTCGTGTTTGGGCTCATTTTGATCGTCACGATGAGCTGAACACAGAAAAATGAATTTTTTCTGCCATTTTTCCCTTCTTCTTCTTCTTATTGTCCTAAAAAAGATTTTTTTTCGAAAATGTTCAAAATTTTAAAAAAGATTTTAAAAAGGCTCATTTTTTATTCTTGTCGATTTTCTATTTAATTTTCTTTATTTTTTTTTCTTTTTTCTCTTTTTTTTCCTTCTTTTCCCGCCCAAATTCCCCTCGAAAGTCCGAAAAAGAAGAAGAAGACACCGAGAGAGTGTGCAAAAACGTGAGAGTGCAGACACATTAGTACTCAAACGACACTCCGCTCACCCGCATGCGCGCGTTGTTTAGCCGGAAATATTTTTCAATTAATTTTAGCGATTTTTCAACGGATGTTTGTCGTTTTTCCGCCATTTTTCGAGCTTTTTGACTATTTTAAACATGATTTTCACGATTTTTCTAACCATTTAATGCTAAAAAACACGTTTTTCAGCCCAAAAACATGATTCCGATGGAGAACAAAAATCTTTATCCGATATCCGACGAAGACGAAATCGACGTGCTGAATTCAGATGACGAGGAGATGCTTCCAGAAGGCTCTTTTCATCATCAACCCGACGAGATTTATATGGTTCAGGAGGACGGCGAGGGCTATTATGACGATGATGATGAAGATGATCCGTTACAAGAATATCAATATGTAGAGGAGGATGGGGTACTGTAGAAAAATATAAAGCAAAAATTTGAGCTAGAAAATGCTGAAAAAACTGAAAAAATTCGAATTTTCGAAAAAAAATTTTTTTTCAAAATTTCGAATTTTTTGACTTAAAATCGTTCAAAATTGTCTGAAAATTTTGAATTTCGACTCTAAAAAATTCCAGAAAAATGTCTAAGCCCAATTTCTGCCAAAAAATTGAAAAAGTTCATTTCCAGACCTACATGCACGACCAAAACTACTCAAATCCCGACTACGTCGACGCGCACTATATAAATACGGATGTGCAATTTTTGCACCAACAAAAAGATTCGGAGATTTTTGAATTTTTTGAAAATCGTGAGTTTTTTTTGTGAAAAAATTTCAACTTTGAGCCAAGAAACGTGTTTTTTGGCTGAAAAATGGCTGAAAATTGCTGAAAATAGCTCATTTTCAGCTCAAATCACCCCTAGAACGATCATTTTTAGCCCAAAACGTCGAATTTCTGAAATTTGAGCCGAAACTTTGTTTCGAAACGTTTCGCTCAAAGAATTATAGATTTTTTTAGCTGAAATTACTCATTTGAGCTCAATTCGAGGTTAAAAATGACTCAAAAATGCCATTTTTTCAGCTCAAAATACCCCTGAAATGACCAATTTCAGCCTAAAACTATGAATTTTGTGTATTTTGTGAACTTTCCAGTCGAAAAATGACCAATTTTAGGCTGAAATTACGGTATTTTTGCCTATTTTTCAGCTCAAAATACCCCACAAATGACCAATTTTGAACCTAAAACTATGAATTTTGTGAATTTTCCGTCGAAAAATTCTATAAAATGGCTGATTTTTGGCCGAAATCACAGATTTTGCTCCATTTTCAGCGAAAAAGGGACCAAAATTCGGCTGAAATTAGTCATTTTAGCCTATTTTCAGCCGCAAAATGGCTCAAAAACTCGCATTTTCAGCTCATAATACCCCTAAAATGACCAATTTTCAGCCTCAAAATACCCCTAAACAGATCATTTTCAGGCAAAAACTTTGAATTTTGTGAATTTTCAGCCAGAAAGTGACCGTCTTAGGCTGAAATTACTCATTTCTTTCTCAAAAATGACCTAAAAATCACAATTTTCAGCCTTAAAACCCCCCGAAAAATGACTATTTTGTAAATTTTCAGCCAAAAATGATCAATTTTAGGCTGAAATTACGGTATTTTTGCCTATTTTTCAGCCGCAAAATGGCTCAAAAACTCGGATTTTCAGCTCAAAACTATACATTTTCTGTATTTTCAGTCGAAAAATGACAGATTTTAGGCTGAAATTAGTGTTTTCAGCACAAAAGCCTGTTTTCAGCACAAAAACCCCCTGTAAATCCCATTTTTCAGCCCAAAACGTTGAATTCATCACCACCGACGACCGCCTTCAAAAGTATCCGGAAATGCGTCAACTGCCGGCGTTAAGGCGTCATTGGCGACAGGCGAACGCACGGAATAAGCCACAATTATTCATACCGCTCAATGGAATACAATTGGACCCGCTGGAATCGGCTGGAAATGCTCTGCTGGTGGCGAATAAGATTTATCCGGCCATCGGGCAATCCCTACAGAATAATAGTCAGAAATCAGGGGTAAGGAGCTCATAAAACGCTGAAAATGACCGAAATTTCGGCTCAAAATGGCCTAAAATAGCATGAAACATGTATAAATTGGCCTTAAACCGCCAAAAAAGACCCAAATTGAGCTGCACGAGAAATGCGCCAAGGCACGAGAAATGCGTCAAGGCGAAAATTGACCTAAGATAAGTCTAGAATAGCTTAACATGGCTTTAAATGATCTAAAACAGTGAGTTTGAACTTGTACGAGAAATGCGTCATGGCACGAGAAACGCGTCAAGGCAAAAAATGGCCTGAAATTGGCCCAAAATGCGCTTAAACTAGCTTCGAATGCGCTGAAATTGACTTTTTCAATTTGCACGAGAATTGCGTCAAGGCACGAGAAATGCGTCAAGGCAAAAATTGACCTGAAATTAATCTAAAATAGCCGAAAATGGCTTTAAATGATCTAAAACAGTGAGTTTGAATTTGCACGAGAAAGGCGTCAAGGCACGAGAAATGCGTCAAGGCAAAAAAACGAACTAAAATTAGTCTGGAATAGCGTCAAATGGCTTCAAATGAGCTAAAACCATGTAATTCAACAGGCACGAGAAATGCGCCAAGGCACGAAAAGTGTGTCAAGAAACACTTCTCGTGTCTTGACGTGTATTTTGGTGCCTTGACGCACTTCTTGTCCAAATTGAAATTCGTGATTTTAGGTCTTTCTGTGACATTCTGGCCTAATTCTAGGCGCTGTTTGACGTTGGCGTATTTCTCGTGCCTTGGCGCATTTCCCGTGCAAATTGAAAAAGTCAAGTTAAGGTCATTCAAGGTTATTTGAAATCATTGTAGACTGATTTTCCGTCATTTAATGCTTTGACGCATTTCTCGTGCCTTGACGCATATCTAGTGTCTTGACGCATTTTGCGTGCCTTGGCGCATGTTCGGTGGTTTGCCCATTTTAGGCCCTTCTATGGTATTCTGGACTAATTCTAGGTCATTATTCCTGGCCCCGCCTTTGCGCATTTCTCGTTACTTGGCGCACTTCTCGTGCGTTGACGCAATATCGGTGTCTTTGCGCATTCCTCGTGTGCAAATTGAAATTCACGTTTGTAACTCATTTTAGGTTTTTTTGACCTTGGCGCATTTCTGGTGCCTTGGCGCATTTCTGGTGCCTTGACGCATTTTTGGTGTCTAACCGATTTTAGCTCATTTTGAACCGATTTTAAGCCAATTTTCGGCATTTTTAGCCGATGCGGGGTCATTTTTCGGTGTTTTCAACAGTTTAAGACCGTTTCTAGACCCATTATGATCGATTTTCAGCCTCCAAAAGCGCCAAAAGTGTTCTCCCGCCTTCCATCACTCCAACCCACCCGTCAAAAAGCGACGCCGCACATTCGAAAGATAATTCGTCCCAAACCGATAGTTTTCACCGAGCCCACCACCACCAAAGGGATTACTGTATGTCCGACGATTGCTCATGGAATGACCCCATTGCCCGATAAATACTTTCAACGACGACAAACGCTGACGGCTGAGCAAGCGGGATTTGATTCCGAAAATGTGATTTGTGATATTTGTAATTTTGTATTCCGCCAAAAAGCGGTTTATCAGACGCATATGAAGAAGCACGCCGATCAGGAAGAGGAGGAGGTCATTATAAGGTTAGCAATGACCCGAAAATCGTGAAAAATGACCCAAAAATCGTCAAAAATGGCCCAGAAATGGCCTAAAATCGAATTTTCCGAAAAATGAAAACTACAGTAATCCCGTTAATTGTTCACCAAAATTTTTCGAAACGGCAATTTTTGTACTCAGCTCGTCGAGAGCTTTGAAATGAGCCCAAACACGACTAGGCTCCGTTCACTTTGATTTTTCAGACGCGTCGCGGTCGTGCGTCGCGTGTCTAAAGGCGAATTTTCAAAATGGGCGGAGCCTAGTCGTGTTTGGGCTCTTTTTGATGCTATCAACGAGCCGGGTACGAAAATATAAAAATTTTCAATTTCCGGCGAAAATTGAGCCGGTTACGGTAGTTTGAAATTTTTGGAAAAATCGAAAAAAAGTTTCATTTCGAAAATATACAAAAAATTCCCAAAAATCACAAAAAAAACGATCCAAAAATCAATTTTTCTACAGTGACACCATAGGACTACTGTGCCCGGTGTCAGACTGCAACACTCGATGTGACACACTGGCGACTACGGTAAAACATATGAAAGACGCGCACAGTATACAGGATATTGTATTCGAGAAAGTCGTTTTTAAGGATATGACGGAGTTTAAGGTGAGAAAGGAACCGAAAATCACGAGAAAAGGGTCCAAAATCATGGAAAATGACTTTTAGGAATAGAAATGCAGATCTCAAAACCAAAAATTCGAATTTCCCACCTTTTGTTACCCCGGGAAACCAATTTTCAGCTTTCTAGCTCAAAGTGTCGTAAAATGTGGTGTCTGGTCTGCAAACACCGCGTAGATCAAAGTGTTTGCGGACCAAACACCAAACTTCACGACAATTCGAGCTAGCGAGCTGGAAATTGGTTTCCAGAGATAAAAAGTGATGAGAAGCTCGATTTTTGTAGTTTTGAAGCTTAAAAAACAATAAGAAAGCTGAAAATTTTGAATTTTCAGCTCTGGAAAGCGGAACTGGAACGTCTGACAATGTCGAAGTATAGCCGAACGTCTGGAAGACAGAATATATACAGCAAATCGACGTAAGCCTATCATTTTAACAGTGAAAAAATTGACAAATTTTGAACTTTTCGAGCATTTACGAAATTCCCAACTACCGTAACCCGCTCAATTCTTGTCGGAACTCAAAAATTTTTGCATTTCCGAATTCAGCTCGTTGAGAGCTTCAAAATGAGTATAAACATGCCATGTTTCTGAAAATTTTGAACTTTCGGGTTTAAAGGCGCATGGTCCCTTGGAAAATTCGAAAAATTTCAAATTTCTCAGAAATTGGCCGTGTTTGGGCTCATTTCGACGACATTTTCGAGCTGAGAACAAATTTCTGGTTCAAAAAAATTTTTTGGGGTGACCTGATCGATTTTTGCTCATTTTGAAGCTCTCAACGAGCTGAATTCCAAAAACCCAAGTTTTGGATTACTGTAGTTGCCATTTTTCCAGATATTATCAATGCGCGCTATCTGGAACGGGCGTGAATGCGATGAAGATGAGCAAAGTCGCTCGGAACCATGTGGAGCATGATCCTTTAAGAAAACGACAGAGCAAGAAGTTGGAGAAGTCGTGTACCGCCTTCTTCCAGGTCAAAGAAATGGATGATGGGTAAGGTTTTTGGCTGAAAATGAGTTTTTTTTCAAAATTTCAAACTACCGTAACTCTGACCATTTTCGATATTTTCTTATGAAACGTAGTTTTTTGCGCCCAGCTTGACAAGAGCTTCAAAATGAGCCCAAACACGACCCCTTTCCTTCAATTTTGATTTTTCTGACGCGTCGCGGTCGTGCGTCGCGTGTCTAACGGTGAAATTTCGAAATGGGCGGAGCCTAGTCGTGTTTGAGCTCATTTTGAAGCTGAGAACGTGAGAAAAACGAATATCTAAAACAAAAATACGGTAGAGGCCGAAATTTTGAGTTATTGTCAGATTTTCGAAAAAAATATGGTTCTTTTTAAAAAATTGAAATTGCTCTAACTTTGTCAGTTTACACTATTTCTGGTTATTATTTCAATTTTTGAGTTTTTTTAGTTTTCAGCTTCAAAATGAGCCCAAACACGCCTAGGCTCCGCCCATTTTGAAATTTCATCGTCGGACACGCGACGCGCGACCGCGACGTGTCTGAAAAATCAAAGTGTGCGGAGCCTAGTCGCGTTTGGGCTCTTTTCAAAGCTCTCAACGAGCTGAGCTCAAAAGTGCAAGTCATAAAATGTTTTTCCACGGCTTTGAGAAATTACTGTAGTTTTCCTGTTTTGGAAAATTTCGAAACTACCGTAACCCGCTCAAATTTCGCCAAAAATCAAAGATGTTCAGATTTTTGAATTCAACTCGTTGAGAGCTTCAAAACGAGCCCAAACATGCCTAGGCTCCGCCCATTTTGAAGTTTCATCGTCGGACACGCGACGCGCGACCGCGACGTGTCTGAAAAATCAAAGTGTGCGGAGCCTAGGCGTGTTTGGGCTCCTTTCAAAGCTCTCAATGAGCTTAGTCCAGAGATCTGAAAAATTTTGATTTCCTCGCGAAAATTGATTAAGTTACTGTAGTCTTCATTTTCTCGAAAAGTGTTCAAACTACTGTAACCCGCTCAATTATCGCCAGAACTCAAAATTTTTTCGATTTTCGAATCCAGCTCGTTGAGAGCTTCAAAATGAGTATAAACATGCCTAGTTTTGGAGAATTTCGAAAATCTACAGTAATCCCAATTTTAAAGGCGCAGGGACCCCTGAAATTTCCAAGTAGGCGGAGCCTAGTCGCGTTGGAGCTCATTTTGAAGCTGAGTACGTGAGAAAAGCGAATATCTAAAACAAAAATACGGTAGAAGCCGAAGTTTTGAGTTATGGTCAAATTTTCGAGAAGCAATTTTTTTTTTCAAAAAATTTGAAATTGCTCTAACTCTGTCAGTTTTCGATATTTCCACATAACACTTGAATTTCTGAATTGAGCTCATAATGAGCTTCAAAATGAGCCCAAACTCGACTAGGCTCCGCCCATTTTGAAATTTCACCTTTTGACAAAGTGGGCGGAGCCTAGTCGCGTTTGGACTCATTTTAAGCGCAATTTTGAGCTGAATACGAATTTCGCATCAAAAATGATTTCTGACAAATCCGGATCGATTTGTGATCGATTTATCGATTTTACAAAAAGTTGAATTTTCAGAAAATTCGAAAAAAAAATTTTTTTTTCAAAAATTGCGAATTCCTGCTCATTTTAAGCGGATTTTCCAGCTAAAAACGAATATTTCAACAGAAAAAATTATTTGTTCAGTACCGTAGTCCTCCGCGGTTGCACCAAACACTCGGGCCACGGAAGGGACCCACGGAGCCTTCCGCTGACCGACGAGATAAAAATGGAAATTGCGAATTTGCTGATCGAAGGATTCGATGAAACTCAAATCGTTGATAAGCTGAGAGAGGGGACCGATAGTTGGGACCGGAAATTTTATCTGCAAACGTATGAAGTTCGAAATGTCTATACGAAAATCGAGAGATTCAAAGCGGAGTATGCTAGGAAGGTTTGTGACCCAAAAAGCATTGAAAAACATGAAAAATGACCTAAAAACCATGAAAATTGACCGGAAAATGTGGAAAATTCGAATTTTCAAAAACCCAAATTTTCAAGGACCCAAAATTTTTGGATCAACTCGAATTTTTAGATTCTCTAACCCGAAAATTCGTTTCTAGCACGTTTTCAGCTTCAAAATGAGCCCTTACACGACTAGGATTCGTCAACTTTGATATTTCAGACGCGTCGCGGTCGTGCGTCGCGTGTCAATAGGTGAAATTTCAAAATGGGCGGAGCCTAGGCGTGTTTGGGCTCATTTTGAAGCTCTCAACGAGTTGAATTCAAAAAGCTGAACATCTTTGATTTTTGGCGAAATTTGAGCGGGTTACGGTAGTTTCGAAATTTTCCAAAACAGGAAAACTACAGTAATCTCTCAAAGCCGTGGAAAAACATTTTACAACTTGCATTTTTGAGCTCAGCTCGTTGAGAGCTTTGAAAGGAGCCCAAACACGCCTAGGCTCCGCCCACTTTGATTTTTCAGACGCGTCGCGGTCGTGCGCCCACTTTGTCAAAAGGTGAAATTTCAAAATGGGCGGAGCCTAGGCGAGTTTGGGCTCATTTTGAAGCTCTCAATGAGCTGAATTCAAAAATCTAGAAATTTTTGATTTCCGGCGAGAATTGAGCGGGTTACGGTAGTTTCGAAATTTTCCAAAATTTGGATTTTTCGGAAAAAAATTTTTCTTTTCAACCAAAATTTCGAGCTGAAAACGAATTGCTCATCTTAAAAATCGATTTCCAGATGATCAGCGGCGAAAAACTGCCAAATTTGGCGGACGTCGTCCGACGGACGGCGGCTCCACAGCCGTCCCAATCGACGTCGTCGTCGGCGCGAAATTTGAATGTTTCAAATTCGCGCGCAAAGTTGGCGTGTAGCAAGTATCCGACAGCGAACTATGAGCAATCACAGCATTCAGATGTAAGGTTTTTTTTTGAATTTTTGAAAAATAATAAAATCTGGGGTAAGGACTGCAAAAATCTTTGAAAATAGTCTGGAATTGACCTGAAAGACCTTAAAATAGGGCTAAAACAGCCTAAAGTAGGCCTGAAACGGCCTAAAATTAAATTTTTCAATTCGCACGAGAAATGCGCCAAGGCACGAAAAAGACGCCAAGGCACGAGAAACGCGCCAAGGAAAAAAAAGCGACCTAAAATTAATCTAGAACAGCGTCAAATGGCTTCAAATGATCTAAATCCGTGAATTTCAATTTGCACGAGAAATGCGCCAAGACACGAAAAAGACGTCAAGACAAGAAGACCTAAAAATAGTCTAGAATAGCGTCGAATGGATCTTAAAACGATTTAAATGATCTAAAACTGTGAATTTCAATTCGCACGAGAAATACGTCAAGGCACGAGAAGTGTGTCAAGGAACACTTCT